TCGCACCTTTAGAAAGAAATATTGTGTTCACTAGATGCATAAATAAAACAGGCTATATTATAAAGTTTCTCGCACAAATGAAATTAAAATGTCAATCATGAAATATATTGCAATTTACAAGTTGTTTTCTGAAAGTAAAAAACAACAGAGACCTAAAACATATCAATCAAAGTTTCGAAAGCAGTTATAGATTTGTTAGGTTCACTTATAAATCCCGTTCTTCTGACGTAATAAACAAACATTGAGAATGTTTTTAGTTACTTCTTCTCAACAAACCTAATCGAGGTATGTTTCCATTGTAAACAAAACAGATACATTATTAAAGTAGTGATCTGGTGTTAGATCTATTTAGTAAGAATGTATTTCATACAAACACGGTTATCGAAATAGAATTGTCAATCGAAATCATCTGATAATTTCTATTTCATTAAAATCGTGAACAAAAACCACATGAAAATTACTCATCTTAACATCATGGGGAATAATTTAACATCCAACGTTTCAATTCAGGTGTGTCACTTAAATATTTTCTATCATTTTTTACAATATTTTCTTTCGATAAATTCGACTGAAAACTGTATGATTTATACGTATTTATCTATAAATTATTATGACAATCAATGAGTACAGTTACGTTACAGAAGACAACAACATTTACTTAATATAAATTTGTCGTCCCCTAGTCCTACACATTTCTGACATCATTTTTCACATATCTCTCTTATTTCTGTCTTTGGAAATGTCAACTAAGTGTTACATATATCTTTTCTCTAAAACGTTCAAAATGAATATTAGCTGTTCGAATTTTGATTTATTGTGCGGGTAAATTAGTTACTGATATACTGCCATGACGAGGGATGTTTTCAAAACATCAAAAGTTTCCATAGAAAACATATTCATAATTATTCAACGGTGACTTAGAATTTACATTACATATTCATTACAATTTTCATAACATATTCCAACTTTAAAATGAATACCTTCAAACTGGCCTGTTTAGATATTGTATAGCAATAGTGAAATAGAGACCTTCGTCGTACAAAGTCGCGCATGCGTATCCTTTGATCGAACTCACCGCTACAATTGTCTAGCTATGACAGTTCCCATATTTGCATATGTAAACAATTTTCATACACGAAAAATAATTGAGATTATATACGTTACAGCCCTGTTTAATAATGATGATATGAACAAAATATACGCTTTTAGATATTATTTGTTTTCATATTTTCTTTAAAATGTGTTGAGAAACAACAGCAAGTATTAGGCTGTTAGTTCTGGGATAATACAGAGCAGAGATTATTATTATAACAGACACTGGTGAAAATTGGGGAGAGTATAACATGATCAAGTTACAGTGTAAGTAATAAATAGATAGCCAGAGTTAGTAGGCAATGGACATTATAGTTACACCTGACGAGAAATCCCCATCCGGTATGTGTGGGTAATACATTTAGTCATTACCCTCAACAAACAAAGCATTTAGGCTAGAAACAGGTTATAAATGTTGCCTTGACAAATTACCAATTTATTTTTTTGGTATCTAATCTGCTGGACAAGCAACTATCTCTACGTAAAATAACTATCATAAATATATATTATATTCAGTTTTGTCACTTTTCATTCGAGGTGAAGTTTGTATTTTATTTTATTACAGCATATAGAGAAATAAATGATTAACATAACGGGCAAAAAGGCTGTCAATGAGTAGATATAAGATTTACATAGCGGCAACAACAACCACAAAAGTAACAACAAAACAGCAACAACAACCACAAAAATAACAACAAAACAGCAACAACAACAATATGGATATTTATTTTTTTTTATATTACATGTTTGTCTGTGTAATGGAAACTTTATTGTAAATTATCGCAAAGAGATCACACGAAAAGATATATCAAATATAAGAATATAGCTATTTTCCTCATAAAGAGAGAAACATTACAGAACATTCTCGAACAATAGAAAAGTTGTTTGTTTACTGCATCTGGTGCACATAATGATACATATACTGTTGATGAATATTAATTCATTAGAAGCTCTATCTTTACACACATAAACACAAGTATAAATAAATCACTGACATCACAAAAAAGCAAATGAAGTAACATATAAGCTATACGATATGTATATATCGTTTGTATTATTTCATTTATATTTTTGTTGTGTATATATATGTGTGTGTATGTGCTTATGCACCATCTATAATGACATGATAACGTTTCTTCTAAATACACGGGATATTTTTTCTTTGAAACGTATGTATCCCTAATGTATACATGTATATATAGATATCATAACAAAATCCGTTTTCACGCTAAACATCCATACTAATTACAAACATAGATTGGCTTACATAGAAAGGCACAATAGATTTGCAGTTGATCTGTAGAACACGTGTTTTAATTAGACCAAATAAAACACTGTAATTTATCTCTTCCTTCAAATGAAAACAAATGTTCTTGAACAAGGTCAAGGGATTGTAGCTGGAGTACGTTTCCTACACAAGACCAATGGTTTTGTTTCTGTGTTATTGTTTACGTGCGTGCAGATCGTTACTAAGATATACGTTGATGACCGGTGTCCAGTAGCTTAGTCTTGTTGCAATAAGACACCCATTTGTCATACGAGGACAATCTTGAAGCGTGTGTCTGATTTATAGCTGTATAACTGGACATCGAGATTGACCAGTGTGGTTCTACAGCTCTGTCTAGCACTGACCGGTTTTAGCGTGATTTTATTGCCAACCAATTTGTATAAATGATAGTTCTAGCGCTCCGTTAACACTATAACACAAGGCAATTAGCGAGAAATAATACGACAGATATCCCATACAGCAAATAATTAGGTAAAACTACACAAATTTCATAACATTATAAATATACCTTGACTATTTAGATACAATATTTAAGTCGACAACTCTCACCAAGACCAATCACATGGTTTCTCATATCATCTACTTGTAAACAAAACATTAAAAATATCATGTTAAACGAAAGTAAAGATTTCATAAGTCAGTGTAAATCATTCGATGAAAAAATAAAGAAATATGATAAGGCAACGTTTGATTTGGATTTTAGTTAATCCCCTATGGAATATTATTTAAAATATATATCAGTATTATCAGCGTTTTCTATATGGGTCACATATCAACAACAAAGAAAAACATAAAATATCAAGATATGCATCGATCACCCAGTCAGATTAATTATTTTTGTAATTGTAGCAACGATGGGTTTATATAATATCTATCACTTAAATGTAATTATCGTAATTTAGTGTAATGATCAATAAGTTTTGGTATTTTTGAAAACATAAGAAATATTTCAATTAATCGTTTCAAAAAATTTGATAAATCAATAATCAATATTACTGTTCACTGTGATACGTATGCGTGGAATTCATTAAATGGTACATATCTTCAGAGAAAATCTTAATTTCAGGTAAAATTACCAAAATGATGATTACACACACAGATTTATGAGCTGATAATATTTATTATTCATTTTAAGCCCGTATTAAAGACGAGATCTTGAACATATTTCTTAACAAGCGGAACAAATGAATATATTTATAGCTTTCCCATAGTGTCTAAAAATATTATATTTGAATTTAATTACACACCTTAATAAATGCCCGTTGCAGCTACAATGCATTAGTGGATTTTAACTGTTGAGTTTACGAACAATTTACAGTTGACAAATGGTGACTTATATCAACCCATCTGTTATCATAACTTCCAGACATTTGTTTTGATAATTGATATTTGTTTTAATTAAATAACACAAACACATTATGTCACCGCAGTGACGAGGCTCTAATTCATTACAGACAATAAAACATTTAAAATCCAATTTCAGCTGGATTAACATAAAGTGGAATGTTTGCTTTGATATCAGATCTAAATCTTATAGGATCTATAGTAAATACGCTTTTTTGTGATCTTCCAAATTGAAAACGATCCTTAAAGAAATCCAGCAGTGAAAATAGTATTCACACAGTTTATGACAAAAGCTGAACAAAGCAGATACGTAAATACTAGGAAACCTCTGGTTACAGGTTCTTATGCTGCCGACAAGATAATAACTTAACAATTCATTTCTTTGGAGTTGAATTAACTGTTTAATTTTGTTTCATTTATACCTAGCCTTTCACTAACGTCGCCGAAAAGTGGAGCTTTTATGAACCCGAAGTGTTATTCAATCACCATCCGTTTTACTAACGCACAATTAAACTTGAATATCTCACCAGGGTGTAAGAAAAAAAGTTTTCTTTACACAGTTAGTAAGCACCGTCAGGGGTAACATCCTTCCATCTTCAAAGCGAATATCTGTAGAAAATACAAAATATAATACAAAATAAAATTCTTAAATTATTCAGTTTTCCTCATGAAGTCCCCTTGTAGAATCAGTGAAGTGTTAACAATATCAAACTAGAACGATATGTGGTTAGAATGTGGCCTATACTAGTAAGTTCGGGCCGTGTCGAGTGTGAATGGGGGTCACTCAAGCATGGAAATATAGACCAGCCCCCTGGCTAAATATTTATCAGTCATCTGGTTCACGTCAAAAGAATGCTTTTAAAACCCTGTTCCACAACACTGATTATTTTTCTCTAAATTTGAGTGGTCCACAAGAAAAAAATGTATTTAACATTATAATAATTTCAGCATATATACTCGATAGTCACACTGTTTTGATCTACATTCTTTCCAATTGCAGAAAAAACTACGACAACCTATTATTCCACATCAAAGGAACCGACCGAACTACGTCACGGGGCAAAACAGAATCAATTAGTCACGTGGGACGTCGCTCGCCTCTGATTGGACAAAAGTAAAAGTCACATGCATAATGTTCTGAAGTGAAAATGGTAGTTGTTCAGTAGTGGGGGTGGCTACCTTACTGTCGGTGTACGTGCAACGATGTTCGGTTAACTCATCACTTAGAACACAAATCATCGGAGTACAAGATAAAAATACTAAGTGTATCAAGGTTATGAGTTCCTACTTAGGAAATCTACTGCCGGCACACATGGCTGCTAACGCTGGACATTCGGATGTGTTCTATCCACGCGCTGAAAAGTCACTGGACAACCACCATTCTGGAGGATATCATTCGACATCAACTCACAATATGTGTTATGAAAATGAAAATACAACATACAGCATGGGCAACTATAATTGCTATCCTATGTACGAGAGATTAGACTCACAGAACCAGATCCAACCAATGAACCTTGTAGCTAAACAGCAAGGATATTGTCCGGGTGGAAACGGTAGCATATATCCCTATCAAAATTCACACAATTTTAGCCATTCTAACCATTTGCATGGGATTTCACCTTACCAGGACGATCGACCGAGTTGTGTTAAAACTGAGGAAGGGTGTATTCCCACCCCTCCGCCTACTTACCCTTTACATGAACAGCACCAGTCTGTGGGACAAATCCCTTCAATATCGGGTCAGGAATTGAACCCACATCACCCTCATCTATCCACAAATCCTTCATCATTAAATGGAATTTCTCAACAAAATATGGCAGTTTATCCGTGGATGCGAGCGGCCGTGAATGGAGGTATTGTATTTTTATTTTTTACATGTTTTTTCTGAAAATGCAAATAAAAAGACATAGACAGAATGTTTGTAGGAATAAGATAAATATTTTATGTCATTGTGCGATGCCTAGTCATCGAGCTCCCTTGCCGTAAATCAACTTAATGGTTGAGTTAATGTGAGCTGAATTACACATGCAGTAAAGCCTAGTGGTATGGCCTCAACTCTCTAGTTTCTCACCACTTCATATATACATTGTAGTAGCCGTCAACAGTTTCTCGACAGGACAGAACATACACAAGTTTAAACGTAGTTTCGTGTTAATTTTCCCTTTCAACCCCTGTATAAACCCCTTATGTTATATGAAAATGTGTTTGACAGTGAAATGTGAGCTATTTGTTTTTTCACGGTTGGTGAATTACGCGGATATAATCCTACACCAGGCAAACTCGCGGTTCATTGGAGATTTGTATCGCGCGTTATAAATGTATTTATTTCACTAGCTAGGGCCCGTAATATCTTCACACACAAGTGACCTTAAAATAATTTCCGTGGGCTGTCAATAACAGCATCATTTGCATAAAGGGCAATCCCTCTCGGTCATTCCATGTCGTCTCGTGTGTATTTGTTGACAGATGGGGTCGTTACGGTAAAAACAATTTAAAATTATCTCCTATTTATTTACATTTGGTGACAACAGTATTTGACTTGATGACATTATTACATTGATGTTTTGCAACAGAAATGTACCATAGTTAATTTCTAATCATTATCAGTATTTTTTTACTCATTTATGACAAATAATTCTACATTCAAACGGTTCCTTATTCTTTTTGTCAATCCTTACCTGTTAATTATAATGCATAAACTCTGGTTATAGCCTGATATATTCAAACAAATTGAATATAAATAGCTTGTAACAACTTTGAATAATTAAATTGCAAAAATTACACTAATATATGTATAAAAGGGTTAGTATGCATTTCAAGTATATTGAAAAAATACATGTCAAATTGATATTTGGAAAGGTTTTAATTTCATTCACGAGATGTTAAAAATATGAGATAAGCATAATTTAAGTTGAATATTACTGATAAAAACCATGGCCATCACTTAATTGATTCATGTAAATATGTATAAAAAGTAGACTTGCTAATTTTTTTGTTTGATATGATATATCATCATGTTTAACTGGCTCATAACTATGGTTGAAGGTTTTTACGATCTTCCAGTATATAAATCTCGCCTTAACTCAGAACTCTACACATAAAAAGTCACCATTAGGCTATTAATTCATCGTAAAACCATGCAGCATAATTCATATCTCGCTTCATAAGAAACTAGCAATACTACTTTTTGTTTCTGACTTGATCGGGCAGGAGGCGTGCTCTGTAATTCAGTATGTTTGTAACTCGCTCATTACCCTCGACGTTTATGGTCACTCATGGACAGTTTATGAGGTGGCAACCCGTTTTTTACGACCGTCAACCTCTCATGATATTAACACCAGATAATCACTGACCCATGGCCATAATACACAAATAGCTAAAAAGAAGAGAATATATGATGTTTGTAAAAATAAGAACAAGAATGATTTAGAAACCGTGAAATATTTTAATTGATTCATAGAGTGAGAACTAGTTTATGAACTGCTCTTTCTTATATCCCCACATGTTAGAGATACTCAGTCAACACCACAACTGGTAAGACACCCATTTTCTTTTGAACATGCTATTAATGTTAGAATTGATTTATTAGAAAAGAATTGTTTTTTGGCTCTAAGTGATCTTCCACTAAAATTCGCAAAGAAAATAATTGTGTTTTTTGTTTTGCTGAAAACTCGGTCGGTTTACATACAGTACCCACATAAAAAATGTTTATTTTATCCTCAACTTCTTTTAATTAGCATTTAAAAACCAAACAGAAAAAAAAATTGCAGACCTGGCTATGAGGAATCAACATGGTAAATTTCTTACTAACCAATCAAGGTTAACTTCCTTTATATTTTGGGATGTTTTTCTGGAATCTACTAAAAGGAAGAAATATTTTTCGATGATTTAAACATTCAATAAATGAAAACTGTCTTGATATGATAGAATAATAAACTACTACCCGTAATCGTAAATATGAAAGTAATATTCTGCATTTGCACAGGTTTCCATTCAAATTATGTATTGAAATGCAGGTGCATTAAGTTCCTTTTTTAACATAAATATGTCTGTATAATATTTATCACATACCATTTTGCTGTTATAATATATTCATATAAACTATACTGATATGGTAATTTTAAGCGATGAAATAATAGTTATTAAATGTCAAAAGTCCCTTTCATTTTAAAAGACTGAGAAATGCAGGATTAAAATATACTGATTTCATATATATGAGCAGCATCTTGTGTTTGTCGTTTTATCAAACTTTCCATGGAAGAGAAATTATAAGGAGTAAATGTTAGATATGTTTTATGTATTATATAAATTTACTTTAAAAATGGAAACAAAGTGATGTTTATAGGTCAAATAAAATCATATTTGATACATCTAAATAATTCCAAAGTAATATTAATATACACAACCTTATATTGTTGTAGTGATACATTTCTTTCCTGTTTCACCGTCAAAGTATAGTTGCTATTTTGATACGCTTTATTTTCTGCAAATATTTAATATTATTATCAAATGATATCTAAATGTAAATTAAAAAAAAAAGATATGTGAAAAACATGTATGAATTATCAAAACATAACTATGATAATAGTGATTATTTGAAATGTAGGATTCAAGATGGTTTGCAATCTAGACCTTTGTTTCTTATTGCTATTGGCATAATCTACAACCACATATCTTTGTAAAATACATAAATAATTAATAAAAACAAATCAACAAACAATGAAATATATTAAAATCAATTAAGAATAAAGCATTCGAGAAAACAATACATACAAAATTTAGAACACAAATCAAAGTTACTGTCTTGGATAATGATAATAATCAAACACCATCTAATTCGATTTCCACAGTAAGCCTTTTAATGCAAAAGAAAATAAAAATCTTATTTTGTATTAGTATCATATTTAAACTGTAGATGGGTTTTGTAATTTCGCATTTGCTACTGACTTAAATTAGATGTTTTAATATGACAAATTAAAAGTTTATGCACTGTTCACTCTATTAACTATTAGTAAATGGGAAAATGCAAGACCAGAATAAAACACGATTACATTTAATTTCAGCAAAGGGGTTATAATTTGGTGAAAACGTCTTATATTCACTTGTTGAAATTTCCAAAATCGTCGATGTACAGATCTGTTTTTTTTTCAATAATCTCATTGATTAATTCTAGTAATAGTCACTTACACTTATTGGCTGATCATTAATAAGGCTTTGATGTTCTATTCACAAGGGAAGAGTTAATGAAATAATGTTATGATTAGGTTTCCTGAAAATGGACAATAAAAAGTTTGGGAAGTCTATCAAATATTAAAAGACAAAGTTGTAAATAAAAGATAACATCTGATGAAAAATGGATTTTCTGGAAAAAATGATGAAGATCGAAGAAAATGAATGTATTCTGCTGGCTTTATTTTTAAAGTGAAGATTTGTATTTCTCCGTTGTAACCATATTCCGGTATTTTTAGCCGATTATATACCATTCACACACTACACAAAGAAGGATAGATTTTGTTTTAATGTCAAATTGCTGTCAAATGTTTCTACTAAACAAATCTATTTAATATAGATTTAAGGAAAGTCCTTTGTTTTGAAAAAAAGATGTTTTGACCAAAGCTTCGCGCTTATGATAGAAAAAAAACAGTTAATAAAAGATAAAGTAAGTTTTAAATGGACTAAGTCACGACAATTGCGTAAAATTTCTTCTGTATATTTTTCATGGACAATAGACGTATCGTTATAATAACATTGCTATATTGAAAATTCATATTTATCGAATAACAGAAGTAAGAAATACAGTATGATTATGGTATCTATATTTCTTACCTGTGAACCATATTGTCATTCTTAAGTAAATATATCATCAACAATAATTCTATGGATAAGTACACCTTTTCAATACTTAAATTATAGTACAAACATATCAATCAAAATATAAGTAATTGTGAAATATTTACAATATATGCAGATTTCCTATGGTTTGATAAATACATTTCAGATCTTCAGAACACTCCTCTTAAATTTCACATCCGTAATATGGCAACAGATACATTCTAAAGAAAGACATTTGATTAACCGCTGATTCAACAGGCTGGGACGATAATCTATTTTTCAAAAACCCGATATGGTTTTTGAGGAGACGTCTGTCCATACCCCTCCTCAACAATCGGCCCGAGCCTGATTTGTTCACGTGATGCAGTTCTTCTCCCCAGGCTTTATATCTTATTCTCATTACAAATCCATTTTTTAACTTCATGCTTGGTTGTTGAATATTTAGAAAGCTTAAATTACCGTCATTTTGGCGATAAACCGTAGGAAGTATGGCAAACAAACGTTCTGTATTCTAAATCGGCGATAAATAATGTTGCATGACTTGAAATCAAAGGTAAACTGGAGCCACGTCTTACTCAAGTGATTTGAACCTTTTTGTGGACAATCGCATTTAGATGTTTTAAGGACATGTTTCTCCGCCTTGGAATCTGCGCGCCGTGCCACGTCCATAGTGTACTCAGTGAATCGTGTGATTCCATTCTTGCCTCTCAAGTGGTCTTTTGAATATATATTCTGACTCAAGGGACTGATATGTGTAGAGAAAATGTCATTTGATGCGTGTAAGTTTTGTAGTTTTTCTCTAGGTGTGAAGACGACACAAATAATCCTGTAGCGATTTCAATGATATGTTTTATATTTAAAAAAACTCTGGGCCCTTTAACATTATCTAGGAAGGATTTTGTTAGAGCAACTGTAATGTTAGCTTTCATATGGTTCCAGGTGAAAGCATTAGTTAGAAGATACGACGACTTCATAGCATTTACTTATATACTTTATGTTTAAGATTACACAGGATCACTTT